CTCCTGCCCTTGTTTCCTCTCTGAAGGACACACACACACACACACCGGCAGTGAAAGCATGAATCTTAGTTCCGCATGTGACGTTCATTCTCCAGTGTTTTTTGTTATTTTTTATTTATTTGTTTGTTTATTTTTATCCATGACGTAGATTCTGAACCTGATACAATCTTTCCTGCAGCACAGACTGAACTCTGGAAATATATTTAGATATATTTACAATATTTATACTGTATAATTATATAAATTGTTATCTACTGTTAATATTAATTATTAATGAGGTGTATAAATCTGTTCTATATAATAAATATAATCAATTATATTTTATAATGTTATATTATACTATTAATATTACTACCATTTACTGCTTAATATTAATTATTAGATAAAATATAGAAATATGTAATTAATAAGTAATTATTAAAATGTATATTTAATTTGAAATAATATTGATAGTTGCATATATGTTTGTGTATTTAAGTATTGAAACTAGTGAAAGGATTATCAGTTATTTGTGTTACTGTGATGAAATAAAACGAACGAATGTGACTTTGTCATATGTTATCCAGTGCACTGTATATGAAGCGGTCTGACAGCAGGAGGGACTCTTGTTCAGTCTGGAGTCGGTTAATGAAATGCGTGCGACCTCTGACCCCTGCAGCTGCATGTAGTAAACACTCCTCTCCTCTTCCGCTGTCAGACAGTCAGAGATTAGAAATCACACCGAGTTTCACTTTCAGACAGCAGATTAGATCTCATGTTAGACACACAACTCACTCCTGCATTATACATCACATCAGGCCAGTCAAATCCTCAGTTGTTCACATGCACTTGATTCAGATTTTATACCTTATAGAGGCGACCGGGGCTAGTTGTCACAGTCAAGTCCATTTCTGTATAGACTAGTTATTGAACACTTCTATTGTTACTGAAATGAACAATTCAACTAAAACGAAAACCCTAATAATGATAACAACAATAATAAAAAATAATATAAAAAACAAAATCCCATTTATTTATTTGTTTGTTTGTTTGTTTGTTTGTTTAACAAATTTAGATGATTAAATATTAATTATTTAGATTATTTATATATTATATAAATAGTTTTTCATTAATATTACTATTAATATGTCTGATTTATGATATACTATTAATATTACTACCCTTACTATTAATTTTAATTTACTAAATTGTAATTATTTAATAGGTAATTAATATTTAAATTTAAATGACTGAATATTAAATTTTAAGTGCTAACGAAAACGAAAAACGTAGAAAAGTTTCCCTTACTTGCAATAAAATTAAATATTAAAAACCTTAAACTTATGGCATTTCAATCCTCATTTTCATTTCAACTTGATGTACTAAAATAATTAAAGCTACATTTCTACAATTTAACTCATATTAAAATATAACATATTACATAAATATTATTTTAATAATTTAAAATATGTATCTCAAAGATATATTCTGACATATTCAGTGTATTCTGAACTGATACAGAGATATTTGATTTATAATATACTTTCAATATAACTACAATGGCTTAGTTAATAATATTCATTTAATATAATAATAGAATCATGTTAGTTTATTAAATTGTAATTATTTAATAATCAATTAATCAGTAATTGTAAATAATATTGATACTATTGCTAATTACAATGTGTAATAATAAATGTAACAATTAAAACTAATTCAAAATAATAATAAACATGCTCCGAGTATGTCAGCGCTCTGAAAGCAGCCAGCTGCGCTGGAGTGAGGTTCGTGTGAATCAGTGGATGAAGCTGTTTCGACTGAACTCACTCTGAACCTGTGGGTTTGTGAGCATCAGCGGCTCCCTCTGCTGGTCACTCGGGCCGAAGGGCCGCCCATTACCATGGAAACAGATGTGTCTGAGCATGAGTGCATGGATCAGACTCCTAAAGTCCACTCGGACTCTGCAGCGGGACGCTCCCGTGTGTGAGTGGCCATTAAAAATACATGCAGGTGTTTTCTCAGTACGAGCATTCAGTGCTTTACAGACGTGAGCATTTCCCCTCATGGAAAATAATCTACTGTAGCTGCTCATTCAACATGCATGAGAGCAGGTCAGCCGCGCTTCCTCGCGTCCACACACCTGTTTGCTCCCGACCGCCTCACTGCCACCTGCTCTCTCAGAGATCAATTCACTTTAGCATTACTTATTCACTCTCATTATGCTCCAAACCCGAATGACTTTCTTCATACAGATCTGAGAAATGCCATATCAAGCTTCTTTTCATTACTTTTTAAAATTAATATAAAGAATAGTGAGAATTAAACAAAGAGTCCATTAGAAATCGTTCTATATTATTTAATCTAACTTTATGTACTAACTAAAATATGATACTAATAAATAAAAAAAACACAACTAAATGTGTAAATCTTGAACTAAAATTAAAATGTAAATAAGAAATTTGTAAATAAAAACTCATTCAAGATATTAATTTAGATATTAATTCAAAATATCAAATTATGATATTGAAATAACACTATATACACATTTTGTCCTTACCTTTTAATTTTAAAGAATAATGAGAATTAAATAATCAGTTATAAAACAATTATTAAACATAAATCATAATAATTCATAAAAATAATAATAATATAGTACAAGTAATAATAACAAAATAAAATTATATATGTACTGTATATATATTGATATATTTTGTGTGTGTGTGTAACCCAGTCTTCAGTGTCACATGATCTTCAGAAATCAGTATAATATG